ACCAGTATAGCGCTCCAGCGCGCGCCCTGGCTGCTCTCTCCGCCGACCGCGCTGGCGCCGTTCAGAGAGGAAGAAAGCCTCAGGTCGTCGCTCACCTGGGAGGCGAGAGCGCCTCGAAACTTGCGCTGGAAAATGGCTGCGAACTGCTTCCTCAACAAGCGGCGCACCCAACCACCCAAATGGGCGTCCCGTCGATGGCCGGGCTGTCTGACATTAGCGTGCTCGACGTTGGCGTATTCCCGCGCCGCAATCGCACGATTGCGCCGCGTGCGTCAGGTCCTTCCCCAACAGAATACCTGCGACCTTCATGATCTCCCTATGTAATGCTCACTCGGCCTGGGGATGGTAGCAGTGAAAATTGTGCCCCCTCTCCCTCGGCGGCGAGATGTCCCTCAGGTCCTCCCACGCGCGCTTCGCCTCCTGCGCGACTGGTGATGGAGTGGAAGTTGAGCTCGCCGCTGCCATCGCTTGCTGCATCGCCGCTGCCGCTGCTGCTGCACGCTCAGCCGCGACCCGGGCCGTCGACATCGGTGGGCGTAACTCTGGTTGCGAGGGCGGGGGCGGCGACGGCTGGGCGTTAGGGGGTGCTGCCCTGGCTGAAGTCGGTCGCCCTTTTCGGAATGTGCTCGAAAAGGTGCTTCGGCCCTGCGATGCACTCGTCCTGGAACAAGGGCTGCGTCGGCGCAAGCAGCGTAGGTGAGACCATCGGCTGTGTGTATGGCACCTGCTTGGCTTCCTCCTCCGGCTGGAATATCGCAAAAGATGGTGCCTCTGCCACTGGTGTGTCTGGAACTTGTATCGATTCTGGCTGCCGGAATGCTTATGGCGGGCCAGGATATGGGCGTGCTGGTGGCGTGGCTGCAATTGGAGTTGCTGCCATGTGCTGCTCCCTCGACGAGACAGATAGAATCATCGGCCTGACCTAGGGAACGATGAATAAGGACCGGAGCCCCTCTTTCTCCAAGGAATAACGCATAAGGGACGATGAATAAGTAATAACGCATAAGGAATGATAAATAACGCATGCAAGCCTGAGGAACGACCGAGCCCCTTTTGAAAAGCATGTGTTCCTTATTCTAGCCGCTCACTGTAGATGTTTCGGTGCCGCTCATCGGCGTCGGAGCCGCCGCCCGCCGCTGCAACGTCGCCACTGGTGGCAGCGATGGTGGCGTTGGCGGGCTCGCCTGAGCCTCTGGCGTCGACGGCATCGGGCCCGACTGGCGGCACGCTCCCCGGTAGCCGCTGGGGACGGTGTGGTACGGATTTGTGTTGGCCATCGTTCTGGTGACCACGGGCATGTCCTGGCGGTGGTTGCCCAGCTTGGGGCACATGCTCACGGCTGGTGCCGCAAGTCAAGGATCAACTCCTGCTGCTTTGTCACGGACGACTCCACCCTTCTGCGCGACCAAGCTCTGCGAGTGATGCGCGTGGAAGTTGTGCCCTGTCAACACCCTCTGCATCACCTGCTCGTTCGACTACTGACGGTCCGAGACTGCCTTGACGGACTCCCTGGTCTGCGTGAGGTACTTGTGCAGCTCACCGTCTCGGGTGTCGCCCGGGCCGACGCCGCGGGGACAGGCAGCCTTCCTGGGGGCGGCGGGAGCAAGCGGAGGGCCTGGCGCCTTGTTTTCCTGGCGGTCCTTCCGCTCGGAGCGGGAGTCTGGAGATGGCTCATGGGGCTGCTCGCCAAAACGAGGACCCATTTCCATGTCCCAGACGTCATCAGATTCCTGCTGGAGCAAGTCGATGGACGCGTGTAATCTGCTAACCGGTTTCTTAGGTTTGATCTCCTACCCCATCAAATCGTCGATCGTTTTCCTGCGCGCTTTCCTTAGCTTGTCACGGGCATTGACGTCCGTAGTGTTTCCGCCTGCTTCTCAAGTCTTTGGCTAGCCGACAGCATGAATGTAAGCACCCCAGTGTTGACTGACATGATTGGGTCCACACGATTCGCCTCGCTGCTTGCGAAATACATGTTTCCCAACGTTTGGATCTTGGCCTGGGTCTGGCTCCTAAACTGAACGGGTTCTTCGGGGTCCTCTGGAGGTTTGTTCCACACCTAGTGCTCGCACGCTTCTAGGGGAGCGATCGGAACCGAGCCGATCGTGACACGATCTCGGCGGCTCGATCGCGACGACGAGGGCGCTGACTTGAATCACGATTCTGCTTGGGCCTGCGTTTCCGCTGGTTGCCGCACGGGCACTCCCACGCATTGTGTTTTTTTTGGTGTTGCTCGTCGCACTGCCTGCACTTCCACAGTGTTAAAGACGAGGGGCTGCTCCAATGAACGCTGTGCTTCGACGGCTGTCAAAAGGAGACGCGCCTGACCACGGTGGTGTCTGAACCGCCTATAGCAGGCTCCTCTCCTCGCTGGCGGCGCGGTCTCCGCTCCCTCGAAGCCGTGGCGACGCGCGCGCGTCCGCGCTCCCTCGCGCTAGCCGGGGGGGATCGCGACGCCTGGGGCCCGACCTCGCCAAACGTGTCTTGGGAGGTCACGCCTGCCCTCCACCTCCTCCTCCTCATCCTCCTCCTCCTCCTCTTCCTTCTTCTCCTCCTCCTCATCATAAGCATCATCAGCACCAGCATCAGCACCAGCATCAGCATCAGCATCAGCATCAGCATCAGCATCACCATCAGCATCATCATCAGCAGCATCAGCATCAGCATCAGCATCAACAACATTAGCATCAGCATCAGCATCAGCATCAGCATCATCATGAGCATCAGCATCAGCATCATCATGAGCATCAGCATCAGCATCAGCATCATAATCAGCATCAGCATAAGCATAAGCATCATCAACATCATCAGCATCAGCATCAGCATTAATGTCCCTCCTTCTCCTCCTCTGGAGGGGGAAGCATCTGACAAATCATACTTTCTCGCAGGGAAGCGCGGATTTCTTGGATTTGCCCTGGAGCCCCACGCCTGGCGCGCTGAGCGCGCCAGGGGCGGCTCTGGAGGCGCCACCAGGGGGGCCCGCCCAGGCGCCGCCGCCAGGAATAGGCGCGGACCTCCGAGGGATCCTGCGTATGCATGTTGTCCTTCTTCGATCCTCCGCCTCCGCCTCCGCTTCCTCCTCCTCCTCCTGTTCGTTCTCCTCCTCCCTCTCCTCCTCATCCTCCTCCTCCTGCTCCTCCTTCTCCTTCTCCTCCTCCTCGTGCTCCTCCTCCTCCTCCTCCTCCTCCTCCTCCTCCTCCTTCTCCTCCTCCTCCTCCTCCTCCTACTCCTCCCCCCCCTCCTCTTCATCCTCCACCACCTCCTCCTCCTCCTCCTCCTCCTCCTCCTCCTCCTCCTCCTCCTCTTCTCCCCTTTTTCTCCTCTTTCTCCTCCTCCTCCTCCTCCTCCTCCTCGTCCTCCTCCTCCTCCTCCTCCGCCCCCCCGCCTCCTCCTCCTCCTCCTCTGGGAGGGGGTTGCCGGAAGTGGCTCTGGCCGAAGGCGGTCCCAGGCTTTCGAGAAGGGCCCTAGGGGCCCCCCGAGCACTCCGGTCGACCCATCGAGGCACAGAGGGCCTCAGAGGGCTCCAGCCCGCCTCTTCGCCATCGTCGCCGCCAGTGTGAAAAACGCTGTTCGTCAGCAAGCCAAAGACGCACCGTGACACGAGCACTGGGACAGGACACCTGAGGGTCGGGCTTGCCGCAGAGGCGCAACTGTGCAAGCTCGTTGGTCTACCCACCGAACGTCGCCCCAACCACCACACATCGCCTTGCCCACCCAACGTCGCCCCACCGACCAAACACCGCTTCATCCATCAAAGTCTGCCCCCCGGGGGCCTCGCCTTGCGGTTGTGATGCTTGTGTCGACGACGATCACGTAGTAAACCCGTGGATGGAGAACTGGTCTCAAGGTTTTAATGCTTGTGTTGACCACCAGGGGCGGCACCCAGGGAGTCACAAAAACGAATTGCTGTTCACCGTGCGTTTTGTCACCCACCTTTTCTTGTAAACCTGGTCTGGTTTCTGATGTTTTGTCTGTTCGATCGCGCCCTGTCTCCTCGGCGAGTTTCGAGGCCCAATGTGACACGCAGGCTGCCTCGAGCGCCAGCTCCCAGCAATGGCTTCAAGCTGGGGGCATGTCCACGGATTCCAGAGTTGTGCAATCTTCCTCCTTCGCCTTCCCCGTCCTCGCCCGTAATTACCCTTGTCCTGCTCCTGGTCTGCTCTGTTCTGTCCTGTGGATCCGCTTCGGACTCTGGGGCCGACACTGGGCAAAGTACAGATGTGCGCGTACGACGCGCTGAAGAGAATGGGCAAACGCAGATCCTGCAACCCCCTGGATTAAAAAGTACGGACCAGCGCAAGTGTCCGAAAGCTCGAAAACGGACCATATTCGTTCCCCCTGGGAAATTCACACGGGAAATCAGAACTTTCGGGTGGTTCGACATGGGACTGGAGAATTTTGCCGAGGACGTCCTAAGCGAAATCGCGATTTTCCAGTCGCCAGGGAAATTCTCGGGTCGCTCAAGAATGCGACCGGAAAGGGTTTTTAGAGGACGTCTTGGGTGGAATCGCGATTTTCCGGTCCTCGCCCCACTTGGGGATTATAAGATTCAAACGGAGGATGGAGGAAACAGAAAAACGCGATTCCACCCAATCCTTCTTCCAAAAACGCTCTCCAGCTTCCTTCCTGAGAAACTGGAGAATTCCTGGGCTGTTCTCTGCAACATTGTACTGGGGCGCTGGGACCTAACGGGAACCTCGTCACGAATATTTCGCGACCTCTGCAATAGACAATTCTTAATCCAGCAACTGTAGGACCTATTCACGGGGACCCACTCGTGGGTGAACAAGAAGGTACCGATACCGCTGCTCCTCAGACCTCTACTGGGATGCGTCTTGACCACAATGCCGAAGCGAATCCAGCCGTAGCGACGAGGGGCCCCCCAGGACAAGCAGCGATGCCAATTTCTACAGGTCCTCCCCGGTCCATTTCCCAGCGAATTCCTGGTGCGAGTACGATCTCGGCCCACAGTGCTGAATGCGGCGGCGACGGGACGGCGCCTTACTGTTCCGAGGCGTCGACGACACGATCCCCAGGACAGGGCCCTTGTCCAGCGAGAACCTCGGGAGGCGGGGGGGAACCTCCGCGCGGGCAGGCCAGGCAATACACGACATGAGGGAGCAGGACACGAGCCTTATGAGCGAAACAGTGCAGGCGCAGTCAAATGTTTACGTTTTAGATCGGTGCCGCCCCTTTTCTATGCCTGTCACAGACGGGCCAAGGGCAAGATAGAGAGCTCACTTCTCCCTGCGCGCGGGGCGGTGCGCGCGCGGTCCCGCCGCCCCCGCCCCGCGCTCGCCCCCGCGGGGGGGGGGCGCCCCTGTCGGGTGAATGGCGCTGCCACCGTGCTGAAATTCGCGCACGTTCCGCCGCCCCTCCCCCCCCACCCTGAACTGTCGTATGTTTTCATCCCAGACGGGGAGGTGTGCCTGCGCCGTTCTTTTGTTCCTTGTTTCTGTTAAAAGCAATTCAGCGCGCTTCCCATGGGCGGTGGCTGCGCCGATAAAAAACTGTTGCCCGCGATGCCTGCGCGAGCGGCGCGATGGCGAGATGCGTGCGCGTTTCATGAGACGCGCCCGCGGTCCCTGCGCCCAGCCCCGCGCAGCGCCCGCGCGGATAAATCGACTGCCCCCGCGGTACCTGCGCTGACAACGCGATGGCGGGGGGACGCCTGCGCAGTGATACCTGCGCCTGCGGCGCCTGCGCCAAACCGAGCACAGCGCCTGCACCGATGACGCGACAGCGCCAACGGTGAGCGCGATGATCACGCCGCCATGACTGACTACCTACCAGACCACCCCAACCCAACCCGAAGACCCGAATTTCGGGTTGGGGGGGGTATGGGCTCCATATGTGTTTTTTCGATGTTCCCGGACCCCCCGCACTAGAAATCGAGGGTAAATCTGAGCCTTCGGGTTGGGTTGGGGTGGTTTGGTGGGTGGTGAATGACTGCGCGATGCCTGCTTCCTAAAATTTGACGTGCCTGCGGTGCGTGCGCCGAGCCACGCGCCCGGAGCTCCGGGGCACCGGCGGGCGCGGAACGCAGCTCGTGGGTGGACCGCGCGTCCTCGGCGCGCCGTCGCCGGCCCTGCGCGGGGGGCCAGCCGCGGCCACCTGCGCGGAGAGCATCGAAAGCCCCGCTCGAGGAAGGTGACCCTGCGACGGCTCACCTGGCTTGGGCGTGGCTGAACGGGGGGGTCATTAATGGGGGGGTCAGAAGCGGTCCCCTTTCGTGCCCCTTTCGGGCCCCTCCGGAGCCCCAGGGGGCTCGTTTAGGTACCGTTTGGGTACCTTTTCGGACCATTCTCGCCACCCCCCATGTATGACCCTCCCATTACGCAACGCCCAACTGGCGCGCCCACCGCACCTGCCGGGTCGCGGAGCCCAGGCAGGGCGCTCGGCTTGTGGACGACACTCGGTGTCAGGATGTGCAGCTCAAGATGTTGCCAAGATGGTCACGGGCGGCATCGCCGTGGATGCGAAGACGGCGGCGGCGGCGGCGGCGGCGGCGGCGACGGCGATGATGCAGCCCTGGCGGCCGCGATCACGATCATCTACATTGCACCCCGTCACGCAGATCGGCCCCATTTGGGCATCGCTTCTTCGGAGGGCGCTTCATATGCAGTTGGGAAACGCCTGTAGGTTAGCCCCACCCCCTGTGCGGATCAAAGCGCTGGGGAAGGACATTACACATGACAAGACAAACGACGCGAGAAGAGAAAATTCAACATGCAGTATGATCGGCCAGGCCTTCGACACGACCAGGGATGTACCATCATACAGAGACAGTGGCAATACATGCAAGGCAAAGCAACACACGATATGATACGAACGGGGGCCTAAGGGATAAAGAGGTAACGAAGGGGGTGACAATACACATCATATATTTACGGATCAGCAGATACAACTGAATGCATGAAGGCGCAGCAATACACAGTAGCGACAAAATGAACAAACGAGCAAGCAAGCAGAAAGAACGAGCCGGAGAGACAGGGAGAAAGAGAGAGAGAGAGAGATAGAACAACATATAGCGAGAGACATAACGGATGCAGACAGGAATGTAAAAGCAAAGAGAGACAGACATAGGCAAACAACAACATCGACAGACAGGTCAATATGGCATTAGCCAGCGTGGACCCTGCACAATGCGCTGTTGGACTGGGGATGTGGAAGCTAAGCGGTGTAAGCTACGTGATGCCAGCTGTGTAGTGTGAGCCAGGCAATGCGGACAGGAGATGGAAGCCATGTGTGTAGGCCGTGTGACGTAAGCTGAGTTGTGTAGCATGTCCGGAGCAACCGATAGGCTGCAAGCTACGCGAGGAAAGCTCCATCGTGCAAGCTCAGAGCACGGGGCGCTCACGGGGCGCCCACGAGGCGGCACGGGCGGCAAAGTTTCTTCTTCGGTGGCGGCCGCGAGACAAGGGTCAGGCGGCGCAAGCAGCGTCCGGGCCACGAACGAGGCGACTTGGCTACACCAGGCACAGGCCGGCCGCCCCGCTCACAAAGCAGCCGCGAAGCCGAGGGGCGGCCGAGGTGGCGCAGCCCCGGGAAGCCCATCCAGCGCACGGGGGTGCCCGCGGGGGCGACCACGGGGCGCGGCGGCGCGGAACGACCTCGGCACGCACCGCCCGGGCGCGGGGCGCCCGCGGGGCGCCCACGCGGCGGCGGCGCGGCGCAGCACCTCGGCATACCCCACGAGCGCGGGGCGCCCACGAGGCGCCCACGAGGCGGCCACGTGGCGCCATACCTCGGCACACCCGCCACGCGCGCGGGGTGCCCATGGGGCGCCCGTGGGGCGGCACGGGCGGCAGCGTTGCGCACACCAGGGTACCCAGAGGAGGAGGAGGAGGAGGAGGAGGAGGAGGAGGAGGAGGAGGCGGAGGAGGAGGCGGAGGAGGAGGTCCATTTCCTCGAGGAACGAGAGCAAGAACACCGAAGTGTAAGCACCGGTTGGGGAAACGGTGCCACCGACCCGCACAGTGAAGCACGAGCGCGGACGGGCAGGCACAAGTACGAGGACGCACGCGCACACGCCCAGGGAAGCCGCGCACACTGCCCGAGCAAACGCCGCACATTGACGCTGCAGGACGTGACGGCCCAGCAAATCCAAGAGTTACCAGCCTGAAACATATCCCTATCCCTATCCTGGGCATCTCCTCATCACGATGCCAATCTTAGGGATTCCCTTATTTTTTGAGGGCGAATCCCTAAGATTGTCATCGCCTTTGGGCGTGTCAATCTTAGGGATAGGGATACGTTCGAGGCTGGTAAAAGAGCCATCTGAGAAGGCGGAGCGGCTGCCGCGTAGGAGGCAGCGAAGCGACCAGTGCCAGTAGCAGGAGGACTTCAGGGCAGGAGCGGCAACGAGCATGCGGCGAACCTGTGCGTCGAATGGCAGGGGGCACCACAGAGCCATCAGAGCAAGCCACGCCGGCGAGCTTCATCACCGTGACTTGTCTCTGGACGATTCCAACTGTCTCCTGGTAATGCGCACGGCGCAGGCCCAAAACTGTTTTCCTCTGCAGCCCCTCCTCCTCCCTGCCGCGTCGACAGCAGGTGCACGCCAGCGAGGGCGAGCGCAGCGCGAGCGCGGCCACCCGCCAACAGCCGTGGCGTAACGGCTGCAGAGCGGCGCTCGCCATCGCTCGGACGTCCATTCCCTGTGTTTGTTTCGGTTTCGTGCGTGGCTTTTTCGGCAAATGATCAAGGATGCTCCTCGATGGTCCTCGCCGAGGAAAAAAACGCAAACGTCCGAGCGATGCCAGGGGCGCACGTAAGAGGGAGCAGGGCGAGCGGAGCAGGCAAGAGAAGGCTCCGTCACCCTGGCGAGCTGGAGATCAGGCAGCCTGTCTCGTGCGCTGCGCAGCACGCGCGCGAAGGGTCGCCGGCACGGGCGGAAGACCGACCCATCCTCGAGGCGCCGGTTTCCGCTTCTGGTCTGGCTGGCGAGCCCCTGCCGGGGAGCTCTGGCTCCGTCCCTGCGTGCCCTCGCGTTCCCGTTTGCCGCCTCTCCTCTTCCACCCCGCTCCCTCCCGGCACCGCCGGCGCCCTGCAGAAGAAACGCCAACCCTGAGAGAGAGAGAGAGAGAGAGGATTGCCACCCCCGCGCCCGATTACACTGTTCAGATTCGCGCGCAGGCCGCGGATTGTAAAAGGTGCAGCTTTCTGGTGTAGAAAAACGGGTTGCGCTCCCCAGGGTCGACCGCCGCGAAACTTGAAATTGGGGTCCAGGGGGTTGGCCCCGTTGGCCCGCCACGTTTTCCCACGACAATTTGCGCTCCCCCGTGCCGACCGCCGCGAACTTTGAAACTGGGGCCTGGGAGTTGGCCATGCTACAGTATCTCTTAGAAGTGTGGTATCTCGACAACCGCCCTGACACGGACGCCGTCTTTGAATCCATTAAGAAGCCGTTCTGCTCATGCAAGCCTTCATGCAGTTGCGGAGTCATGGGGGGCTTTCTCGCCTGCCCTCGGCCCTCCGCAGGCTGCCTCTCGGGGGCGCCTGCTCTCCTGCGCCGCCCGCCTCCCGCCGCTGCGGCCGCTGCTGCCCCCCGGCCCCGCTCCGCCTCCTCCGGCATGCGAAGCGGAGCCGCCGCCGTGCCTCCTGGGACGTGGAGGCGTGAAGGATGCCACGTGCTGCCTGGCAGGTCTTCTGTGGTCTTCTGGGGCCCCCCACGTCGCGCCCACTGGCGTGCACCGCCCCCCTGCGAGGTCCCTGGGCGGCCATGGGCCCTACCTGGGGGTCGCTGCCACCCAGGACGCTGCGCTGGCACGGTGGCGGAACTGCCGGAGGCAGCTGGACAAACTAATCCTGCGTCTGTCTTCGGAGCATTGGGACGGGACGCCAGCACCAAAAAACAGGAGGGTGCGCCGCCCTGGGGGGGCATGATCCTCGATTCTGGTGTCGGTGGTCCTCTCCCAGCCACCTGGGAAGCCCGAGTCTCACCACCATCGCCGAGATCGGGATCACTGTCCCATCTTAGGGGAACAAAAAATTACATAAACATAAAAATTCGGAGGTCCGCGCGGATTTCTCGGATCGGCGCTGGGGCCCCCCGGCGGCGCCTCCGGCGCCGCCCCTGGCGCGCTCCGCGCGCCAGGGAGGGGGGTCCAGCGCCGATCCGAGAAATCCGCGCGGACCTCCGAGTTGTTCATTATGTTTGTGCCACTTGTTGTTCCCCTTCTTCTGTGGAGGCACACCGCCAAGATGGGCGTCGGTGCCAAACTCGACGATGAGGAGCTCTTGCCCAGCGTGCTCGGGCGGCGGCCCCGGCGACAGGCTGTGCCTTAAGGAGCGAACGTAGCGTGCCGCTGCGCTCCGCGGGGCGGGAGGCCGGAAAGAGCTCGGAGCGTGGACGCCCGAGGATTGAGAGGTGGGCAGCGTCTCGCGCCGAAGCGTGGTGGGTCCACGCTCCTGACTGTAGCTAGTGGCGCCCCGGCAGTGGAGGGCAGAAGAACCCCACCTGAATAGGCACCCCGACGAGCAAAGCCGTTCAGTGCATTTGCATGTGCAGAGACATAGATATTACATATCCACCGGCCCCCTCTGGGGCCGCAAGGCTGCGAAGGTGTGTGCGGTCTGCTGTCATGTGTTCTGTTTTGCCATTTGTTGCTTGGCCTTTTGTCCCTCCAGTTCTGTTTCCTGCCTCATGTTTACTGTCTGCTAGGGGACCCCGCCGCGCCACCAAACAGCCAACGGGGGGGGGGAACCACAAATCCTGACTTCTCCTGGCCACCCAAGGATTCTCATTGTGACGCCACCGCGCGGCCAGAACGGCCCGAGAGGCCTACAAGATTGCCCGAATAGGCTCCGAAGAGAGAGAGCCTCAGGAACCCAAGACGGCCCGAGATTGCCCAAAGATGTCCCACGACGGCCCCAAGACGGCCCAAGATGTTGCCAAGACGGCTCAAGAGGCCTCCAAGAAGCCTCCCTAGAGGGCCCCACGAAGCAAACATCAACGACTTTTCCAACGTTTTTGAAGGTTTTGGCCTTCTCGCCTTTTCGGCTTTCCGACGCTCCGAGACGGACCAAGAGGTTCCCAAGATCGCCCCACGACGGCCCTAGAAGCTCCCATGATGGCCCAAGAGGCCCCCAAGACGGCCCCAAGTCGGCCGAAGACGGCCCCAAGACGGCCCCGAGAGAGGCCCAAGAAGGAGTCCACGAACCGAAAACTCTACCTTTCCGCCCCGAAAGTGCCCCAGGAGGCCCCAAGAAGGTCCCAAGAGGCCCCAAGAGGCCCCAAGAGGCCCCCAAGAGGCCCCACCAAGAGGCTCCAACACGGCTTACAAGACGCTCCGTCAATGACCCGCAGACGCTGCCGAGAAGTCTGCTACGAGAAGCACCCACGGCGCTATCCTCGCAGCCGCACACACTAGTAATAGAGGGGGCCAGGGGCAGAGGGCGAAGCCCATAATATTTACATTGATAGACACACACACACACACGCACCTAGGGAAAGGATCGAACAGTGCAGGGCTGTCTAGTAAACGCCCAGGACTGTGTAAGCAGCGCCAGTAATGGGGGTCGGGGTGGTTTTTCCTGCCTCAAGGCGGTGCGGCCCTCCGCGGCTCCGCGCGAGGCGCGCCGCTGCCGCCGTCACTCTGCCACCGAGCTCGGTGGCGTGACCCCCCGCCCTCCCCCGAGGCCACGACGCCCAGGACGGGGCGGCGCGGCGCAGCTTGCCACCGTGCCCGCGGGACTTTTGTCTTACGGCGACGCCGCAGCAAGCCCACGAGACACGGTGCTTCCAATGAGATATGATCAAGAGGCGCGGTGCTGATCCACGGCGAAGGAAACTGGCATCCTCCACGTGCAGCCCTGAAATCCGTTCGGGCGCCGTGGCAGGCGCCCGGCTGCGACGCCGCATCTGGTCACGAGCGGCGAACGTATACCCACGTCCGCGCCCTCGCGGGCTGCATGTCGGGCCGCGATCCCGCGGACACGCGCGGCCGCAGGCATGCGCTCCGCACGGGGCACCCGCGACAAAACGCCCCGCACCCGCGGGGCCGCGGCCCAGGAGCCCGGCCGGCGAGGCCGCGGACACGGACCTCTTGTGTTTCGCTTGAGCCGGGCCCGTCCCCCTACAGGGGGATTTTCGACGAAAAATTAAGAATACCCCACAAATGCTCCAAGAAGCTCAAACAATACTCGAAAAAATATGTTCCCGTCATCAAATCATATGTTGGACTATTGTTTGGCTATGGTTTGAACTTTTTTCATTGTTCGTCGAAAATCCCCCTGTAGGGGGACAGGCCCGACTCAATGTCTCGCCCACCGGGCAGCGGCCTCGGCGCCGCGGCAGGCAGGGCCCCGAAGAGGAGATCGCGCCGCCGCGCGCGCGAAGGGCTCCCGAGGCGCGGAGGGCCAAAAGGTGGCGCGGCGCGCGGGGGGGGGGGGGGCGCGGCGAGCCGGGAGGCCCCGCGGCGGCCCCTCCTCCCGCTCCTGCTCCTGCTCCTCCTCCTCCTCCTCCGCCTCCTCCCTCCTCCTCCTCCTCCTCCTCCTCCTCCTCCGCCTCCTCCTCCTCCTCCTCCCCCTGCCCCTCATCCTCCTCCTCCTCCTCCTCCTCCTCCTCCTCCTCCCCCTCCTCCTCCTCCTCCTCCTGCTCAAGGCATGCAGCCCAGCGGGGGACGCCTGGCGGTGCAAAGGACCCACCCGCAGAGGCAGAGCGACGCCGAGGGAGGCTCGAGCCTGGGAGGCTCGATCCATGCCCGGGGGGCGCACACGCCCGCAGCCAGAGGCACGAGGATCACGGACGGGATGCCGACACGAACAGTGACGCGGGCAGACGTGCAGGCGAGCAGACAGAGACCCGAACACACACACACACACACACACACACACACACACACACACACACACACACACACACACACACACACACGCACACACACACACACACGCACACACACACACACACACCTATACATATATATATATATATAACATATGCATAGAGAGTCACAGCGAATGAGAATGAGAGAGACCCGGAGATAGACATACGTGCACATAGAGTCACAGCGAACGATAACGAGAGACAGAGAGAAAGAGAGAGAGAGAGAGGCTGGGACACAAACAGACACTAGCGAATCACATACCAGACTTGCTTGGGCCAATTTCGGCTGAGTGCGCCAAGACGTACAATATACCTTGGGCAAGGCACCCAGGATCCATGCTGTGGCCATGGACGATACCCTGGTATCAATTCACCTAAAAATTTGTTTTCAACAACCACGAGAGCCTCTTGGCACGCCGACTGCCACCTGTAGCAGAGCCGCCACTGTGCCGGGGAATTCCGGAGACCTCGGCTCCACTCCGCTTGGGGCATGAGGATGGGAAGCAACCACGACTTGTAACTCCGTTTGCTGTTCGATGCTTCTCAACCGCAAGGCATTGTCCCCACCCCTGCTCGCCTCACGTTCCTCATAGTCGCACGGATTTCTCCACGAGCCGTGGCGCTTATATCATCACGACCCTGTCCGTGTGATGCTCCGCCCGTTCACTGAACAAAAAACGCTCTGAACTACTATATGCACCACCTCTCGGCCTTCAAGAATGAAGATCGCCCAAACGACAGCACACACACACACTCCTAAGTCAAAGCCCGCAGTATGTAATCCTGCCGCCTAGTGCTCATCCCGCTCGTGCTGGAATTGTCTCATCCCTGTGGCTGCTGAAGCTCTTGCCACCGCTACTGCCACTGTTGTTGGTCGGTGCCCTTCCTGATCCTGTCGCAACTCTAGCTCCCGCTGGTGCTGCGCGCAACCTGGATGCGCACCGGGAGCAAGTTACTCCAGATTTCGTAATAAAGGGAGGGGGGTCTCATTTCGGGGGGGGTCTCTTCCAGGCTATCTTGGAGGGCCTGGGGGGGTCTGGGGACGATGTTTTGGAGGGATCTCCCACGGGGGGGGGGGGGTCTGAAATGGCTTGTCTTGGAGGGTCCAGACCCCCTCCCTTTCATTACGAAATCTGGAGTACCATACTGCATCTGTTGTACAGCTACGGTTGCAGAGTGGCGCCCGTCGCGCAGCTCCCTGCGGCGCGGGCTCTCCGCGGCAGGCAGTCAGAACACTGCCGACGGGCCCTGCCGATCCTGCTGCTGCTCCTGCTCGCCACCTTGCTTCGCACTCCTCCGTGCGCCCCGTTGGATCCGCAGGCGCTGGCTCGGTACAGGGCAGGCCTCGCACCTGCCGATCCTCCTCCTCGTCTTCCGCCTCTTCCTCCTCCTCCTCCTCCGCCTCCTCCTCCTCCTCCTCCTCCGCCTCCTCCTCCTCCTCCTCCTCCGCCTCCTCCTCCTCCTTCTCCCCCTGCTCCTCCCAGTTCCTCATCATCAATCCTCCTCCCAGCCATTTCGAGCGAAAGCGGCCCACCCTGCACGGGGCGCGCGACTGCGGTCGGTGCGCCAAATTTGGAGTGGTCATGCGCACCGGAGCCACCATCACATCAAGAGGCGGCGCGCCCATCACCATCAGCTTCCATGCCGAGGTCGGGCGCGCACGCGGCCGCAAGGAGTGATCTCCATCGCCTCCCCGCCCCCTTCGCGTTTTTCCTCATAGCGTTTCGCTGGAGAGTTCTACAAAGCGCTTTCCAACTTCATCGGATTACTCATACGAAACAGGGGTGCCCAATTGGGGGCTGGTCCGCGCGAAGGGGTGCAAAGCAGATGATTGCGATCACGGCCGCGAGGGATGCATCGTGGCCATCGCCGTCGCTGCCGTCGCCGCCATCTTCGTATCCGTTTCCGAACGTGACAATTTGGCCCAGTCCTGATTTCAGGTACAATTTGGTCCGTGACGTGGTGGGAGAGCCACTCACATGGACTGAAACAGCGTGAGCAGTGAGCCTGCCAGTGCTGTTTCCTCCTCGCCCTCCTCCTCGCCTTCGTTCTCCTCCCCCTCGTCGTCCTCCCTCCCCCCTTCGCTGCCGCCGTCGTCGCTGTCGGTGTCTGCACGGCGTCTTCTTGTTTCGCAGCCGCGCCTACGGCAGCGGAACTTGCTGTTTCACTTGTTTGCCAACGCACCTCTGACGTGCACGGCGCTTCTCTCTCTCTCTCTCTCTCTCTCTCTCTCTCTCTCTCTCTGAGACCAAACAGCAGCCAACAGCGAAGCGCCATGCTTGGGCCCTGCGACTTGGCAGATTCGGTGGGCGCGCTGGCGAACCGTCGCAGGGTCGAGCGCGTGTTTCGATGCTTTCTGCGCCCAGGTGGTCGCTGCCTGCCCCGCGCAAGAACAGCGACGTCGCGCCGAGGGCGCGCGGCCCAACTACTCCGTTCCGCTCCCGCCAGTGCCCAGAGCCGGGGGTGCGTGGACTCTGCGCAGGCGACGCAGGCGCGTCACAGAGTCGGGCGCAGGCGTCGCTCCGCCACGGCGGCATTATCGAGCGCACCGCGGGCGCTGCCGCTTCACCGGGGCAGGCTCCACGCATGCTCGGCGCAGGCACCGCAGGCGCGTCAAATACTTTTGCGCAAGCATCGCCCCGCCACCGAATTACCAGAGCAAATGCTGCGGGAACAGTTGACGCTTCCGCGCGGGAGCCACGCGCGGCTGGCGCAGGCGCCGCGGGCGCTTCGAATGAAACGCAGCATGCACCTCTTCGCCATCTCGCCGTTGGCGCAAGCGCCGCGGGCGCTGGTTCGCACGCGCGCAGGCGCCGCCTGCGGCAATGCGCAGGCGCACCAGGCACGCCAAATAATGAAGTGCAGATTTCGCAGGCACGGGCGCAGGCGCGCCGAAATTGTCTCTCCCCGCGCGGGCACGCCACCCCGTTTGGGGCTGCAGAATCACAAAAGAAAAGGAAGGGGGGAAGTGGGCGGGGCAGCGCGCGCGAAGCTTAACATTATATCAACGCCATTGCGGGGGCGAGCGCGGGGAGGGAGGGGCCAGGAAGGGGGGAAGTGGGCGGGGCAGCGCGCGCGAAGCTTAGCATTATATCAACGCCATTGCGGGGGCGAGCGCGGGGAGGGAGGAGCGGGGGGGGGGGGGCGGTTGAACAACTGGCCGAAACCTCAGGAGCTCGAGAGAGCAACGCAGAGCCTGGGCGACAGGAAGTTCGCGCGCTCGCCACTCCGTGCGCGGGGAGATGTAAGCTCTTTATCTGGTCCACGGCGCATCCGCGACAGGCATCAAAACGTGGCGGCACCGCTCTCATAAGCTAAGTGGGAGTACGCCTGGCCAGGCGTCTTGCAATTTAATGTTAATGCTCAGACGAGGCAGGGGTGCTCGACGGGGGGGCGATCCGCGCGACGGGGCGCAACGCGGATGATCGATAGCGCGGCCGCGAGGGTAGCGTCGACGCCGTTGCCGCCGCCGTGACTTTCGAATCCGCGGCGATGGCGCCCAGGGCTCTGCGAACTGGCGCGCGAGGCGGGCGCGCAGGCGAACCGCGGCAAGGTCGGCCTCTCGAGCGCGGGCTTCGACTCTTCTTGCGCCCGGGTGCCCGCCGCCTGCCCCGCGCGAGCACGGCGGCGGCGCGCCGAGAACGCGCGGCCCAGCCGCTCCGCTCCGCCCCCGCCCACTGCCTGGAGCCGGGGGTGCGTGGACTCGGCGCAGGCGCCGCAGGCGCGTCCCGTGATCGGGCGCAGGCGTCGCTCCGCCACGGCGGCAGTATCGCGCGCGCGCGCCGCGGGGGCCGCCGCGTCGCCGCCGCAGGCGCCGCGCACGGCTCGGCGCAGGCGCTGCGGGCGCGTCGAATGCCATTGCGCCGGCGCCGCCCCGCCGCCGAGTTGCTGGCGCAGGCGTTGCGGCGGCAGTGGATGCATCAGCGCGGGCGCCGCGCGCGGCCGGGCGCGCGCGCCGCGGGCGCATCGGATGAATGACCGCGCAAGCGCCGCACGCTTGGTATTGCACGGGCGCAGGCGTCGCCCGTGGTGAACCGCAGGCGCGCCCGGCGCGTCAAATCCCAAGGCGCAAACATCATCCCACCATCGCAGGCACCAGCGCGGGCGCGCCAGACCTCGACTCATTCATCATCGGCGCAGGCAGGCGCCACCCCGTTTGGGATTGCAAACCTGTTAGAGCTCAGGGTCAAAACTCAGGGGGGTGGAGGGGGGGTGGAGGGGCGCGCGCGAATCTTAGCATTGCATCAACGCCATTGACCCTGCGAGGATTGGCCGCCTATGCGGGGTCGAGCGCCGGGGCTGGCGAGTCGGGGGGGCGGTTGAACCGCTGACCGAGGCCTCGCGAACTTGAACGAGCAATGCAGAGCCACGGCGGCAGGCGTCAAAACGCGGTGGCACTGATGTGGCACGCAGTGCGCCTGGCCAGGCGTCTTCAAAATTTACTCATAATGTTATGACGAGGCATGGGGGGCCCGACTGCCGGGCGATCCCCGCTGGGGGGCGCGTCGTGGACACCGCGGCGCGAAGGCTGCGTCGCCGCCGCAGTGCCGCCGCCGCCGTCGCCCTCGCTCCCGCGGCGACGCCGCCCGTGGCCATTCTGTCTCAGTCCTAACTTCTATGTTCTGATGCCGAACGTCAGCCGAATGGGGGCCGCCGTGCCCGGGCTCTGCGACCTGGCAAATTAGATGGGCGCGTCAGCAAGCCGTCGCAAGGTCGACCTCTCGAGCGCGGGCTTCGATGCTTTCCGCGCCCAGGCGGCTGAGGCCGGCGACGTCGCGCCGAGGGCGCGGGCGCCGCGGGAGCAGCCGACCCATCCGCGCGGGCGCTGCGCGAGGCCGGGCCTGGGCGCCGTGGGCGCTTCAAACGAAAAGCCGCGGTCATCATCTCGCCGCCGCCCCGCGAGCGCAGGCGCCGCGGGCATCGGCGCGGGCGCCGTCCGCGGCAGAGCGCAGGCACCTCTGGCGCGGCAACAGCACAAGCATCGCCCTGCCATCGCAGGGCCGGCACAGGCGCAGGCGCGCCAGACTTCGCCTTCCATCGGCGCAGGCGCGCCGCCACAAAGTTGCGACACCTCGGGCGGAAGGCGGTCGGGGGCCGGGGCGCGCACGAATCTTAGCACTGCATCAACGCCGCCGGCGCAAAAAAGGGGCGTCGCTCCCTGCTGAGGGGGGCGCGGGCGCAGGGCGGGCGGGGTCGGGGGGGGGGCGGTTGGCGCGCTGGCCGAGGCCTCGAGAGCTCCGGCGAGCAACGCAGAACCGCGGCGGCGGACATTCGCGCGAGCGCCACTCCCATCGCAAGGACCTTCGCGCCGCGCACATTCGTCTGTAAAGTTGGCAACGGCTTCCCGAATGAAGGGCGGGTCGTCTTTTCTCGCCTTAGCGCCGCGCGCATTCGGGAAACAAGTGTGCAAGAGCTTCACGGATGGAGGCCGGTACCTTTCCAACACGTGGCCCTCGCCTGAGCGCTGCGCATACGTTTGAAGAGTATATACGACAAATTCAAATATTCTTATGGCTGACCCCCCAGAAGCGGTGTTTTGGCACGATGTAGGACCGTCAGAGCGCAAACGGTAAGTTGTATCGCGGTGTTGAAGTCCCAGGAAACGTGTTCTGGCAGAGTTTGCCTTCGGTTGTCTTCCAACGGGGCACTTCCTTCCGAAAAAATGAACCCTTGTAGGGCCCTACGAAGAGGGAACTTGAAGGGAGGATGTATTGCAGCCTCGTTGATGAGTCTTGTGCTTACACTGGTCCTCCTCCTGCTGCTCCTCGTCCCCAGCCCTGCATCTCCCCCTCCGTCACCTCCTCATCCTCCACCCTCCTCCTCCTCCTCCTCCTCCTCCTCCTCCTCCTCCTCCTCCTCCTGCACCCACCGTCCTCCTCTTCCTGCACCCACCTTCCTCCTCCTCCTTCTCCTCCTCCTCCTCCTTCTCCTCCTCCTCCTCCTTCCCCCTCCTCCTCCTTCTCATCTCCTCCTTTTCTCCTCCTCCTCTCATCCTCTCCTCCTCCTCTCCCTCACTACCTCCTCATCCTGCACCCCTCCTCCTCCCCCTTCCCCGTCCCCCTGCCCCCCCCCCTCCCTCCCCCTCCCCCGAGGGCCGCGCCGCCCGCATACCCCCCCCCCTTCCCCTCCAGATTCTGCTCCGACAGCCCCGCCCGCCCGCATGCCGCTCCCCCCCTGGCGACCTGAGAGATCCCCCTGGAGCTCCTCGCGCTGCCTGGGCGTGAGCGGCTGCCGTGGACGCGGGCCACCACCGGCACCTGGCGCGGCCAAACGGCGCGGCGGATCGGCGCCGGCTGATATTAGGTCCCAAACATGCTCGCGTCGCGAAGAAAACGCGACGGAAAGGTTTTAACCGTTTTCGGCCTCCGAGGGCCCTTGCCGGGCCCCAGGACAGTCGAGCAGCGGTTCGCGATGAAACGCTGCCCTTGGGGAAAGGGTCGGGACTTCTGGGGACCCCGTATGGAAAAAACAAAACGTCGCATGTCTGTCTGGGGAGGTAACTCCTGGAAGGTCTCCGTAAGAGGGCCATTGAGCTTAATCAGACCAGATTAAGCCCAGGGCTAGGCCAGATTAGCCCAGATGAAACAGGATTGGGCGGAATTCAATCGGATCATGCCAGATTATGCCGGTGCCCGACCACGTATCATGCCAGCGCCGATGCCACATTTCACCTCCCAGAAATTGCAAGCGACGAGAGGCGAGGGCAGATCAGGACGAGGCGCGCGCGAGAAGCCGCCCTCGGCGTCGGCGCGGCTCGCTGGGGAGCGAGGGCGGGGAGCCCATGGGGGCCTCGAGCTCCTCTGGAGAGCGCCAGGTCCGGCAGACACGAGCGCGCTCCCCGAAGCGTTCAGTCGGGCGTGTCCCCCACACATGGGGAATTTCGACGAAAAATTAAAAATACCCCCAAAATAATTCAAAAAACAATCCAAAAATGCCGGCCCAACGGGCCAGGGCGTGCTAAGATCTCCGGTAACTGGTTAACAGTATTAACAGTATTTCTAGTTCGCGCGCGCGGGGCGGCCCCTGGGGGTCCCCCGGCGAAAAGTACCCCGACCAACTATCGACCAAGTCTACTCAGAGATGGTTTTCCTTCTGGGTGCGGTCAGGCTCCCCGAGCGCGCTCAGAGTGCCCCAAGAGGCCCCCAAGACGCCCAAGAGGCCCCCGAGACGCCCAAAGAGCGCTCGAAGACGCCGAAGATCCCCCAAGGCCCGACCCACGCCCCGACCAGACGCCCGGTCGCCGCCCGACCGCCGCCCGACCGCCGCCCGACCAAGTCTACTCAGAGATGGTTTTCCTTCTGGGTGCGGCCTCTCAGGCTCCCCAGAGCGCGCTCAGAGTGCCCCAAGAGGCCCCCAAGACTGCCCAAGAGGCCCCCGAGACGCCCAAAGAGCGCTCGAAGACGCCGAAGATGACCCCAAGACGGCCCAAAAGGCCCCCAAGACAGCCCAAGAGGCCTCCAAGACGCCCCAAGAGCCTTCCAAGAGGCCTCCGAAGAGAGCCCCAAGAGGCCAAAATCGTTGATTTCATTGTTTTTTTCGATGTTTTTTGTGTTCTGGCTTTTTCGGCTTCCGGACGCTCCAAGACGGCCCAAGAGGCCCCCAAGACCGCTCCAAGACGGCCCACGAAGCTCCCAAGACGGCGCCGAAACGACCCAAGAGAGCCCTCAAGACGGCCCAAGTGCCGCCCAAGACGGACCAAGAGGCCCCAAGACGGGCCCAAGAGGGACTCAGGAGGGATACCGAGAACTCAAAAATGGAGCCCTCCGTCCCAGAAGGCGCCCAGGAGGTCCCAAAGAGGCCCCAAGAGGCCTCCAAGAGGCCCCAAGATGTCGCCAAGAGGCCCCAGGAGACTCCCAGGAGGCCCAAAAGAAGCCCCAGAAGGCTTCAAACATGTCTCCCAGGCGCCCCCGAACGGCCTCTCAACAGACCCCAAGAGGCCCCCCAAAGAAGCATCTTGACGACGACTCTATTTCGCCCCATCGAGAGACGACCCCCAGGGGAACTGCTTCACCATCAAAACTCCCCACGCAACGCGTCCGAACGACACCCGCCCCCAAGAGCGCAACATGGGCAACGAACACACAGACAAAAACCAGCGATGCCATATCACGGGCCGGCGGAATGAGCGAAGCGATTCAATAATTCAAAAAACCAATCCAAAAATAATATGGGGACTATTCGTTTGATTTCTTTTTGCCAATTGGGGGTATTTTGGGGGTATTTTTATTGTTCGTCGAAAATCCCCAAAATCATCAAAAAAAAGAATCCCAAAATAGTCTGGGGACTATTTTTGGAGCTTTTTTTGCCTTTTGGGAGTATTTTTGGGGTGTTTCTTTCATTTCTCGTCGAAGCTCCCCCTGCGGGGGGACACGCCCGACGTGACCGAAGCGCCGGCCACAGCATCCCCGGCACACAGTGAGCGCAGCACGAGGAGCGCAGATGCGGGGCCTCTGCCGGGCCGCGGCGGGCCCCCGGCCACGAATGGGGGGGGGGCTCCCTGGCCGTGGCCCGGTTTGCCAGCCTCGAACGTTCATTCCTACCCCTAAGATATTGACACGCCAAAAGGCGACGACAATCTCAGGGACTCGCCCTCAGAAAGTAAGGGAGTCCCTAAGATCGGCATCGTGATGAGGAGGTGCCCAGCACAGGGATAGGGATATGTTCCAGGCTGCTAACTGGTGGCCACGTACCTGTGCCACGGCGCTGTTTGCTTCCCGCCATCTTTGAGCACCAATGAATATCTCAGGGCAGTCCGCCTCCGATAATGCGGGATGACGATGGATAAAAAATGGGAGGGAACGATTCAAAGAAATAGTTTTTTTCTGCTGTTTCTGCACCATTCTCTGACTGGAAGAGAACGATTCAAAAAATAATTTTCCAGCGTGCGGCCGGTTTTTTCTAATCGTCATCCCGGGCGCCGCCGCGTGAACACGACCCCCGGTCATTTATTAATCGTCATCCTCCGATGCCTCATTCCTCGTCCCATGTCTGCGCTCCACTCGAGCCAAGGCTGGGCCAGCAGCCACGGAGCGCTCCTGCCGCGAGGCTGGGACAGGGACGAGGTCGGGCAGGAGCAAATCGGGGATCCTTGAGATCCCACGGTATTGGAGGATGCATCGGGCGCCGCGGCCGCTCCGAAGCTCGCCGGCAAGCCCTGCGAGCGTTTCAGAACGCCCTGGAGCGGCGAGGAGCGCCCTGAGAGCGCACAGGAGGGCTCCGGAACGACTCGATCCCTTTCCTGGCACCGCTGCCCCGTCCGTCATCGAGCTGCTAAGGTTGTGGATGCCACGACAACGGACACCCCAAGCCTGGACGCAGAGCACTCATTCTGCGCCAGGTGGCCGCCCCGCTCCTCCGCAAGTCCTTTTCGTCCCTCTCCGGCCCCCTGGGGCACCCCGTCGTCGCTGTCCTCCGAGGAGGACTCCTTCTGGTCCTCCTCGCCGGGCTCGTCGATCGCCATGTCCGGGTACAGCGTGACGGCGAAGTCCGTGAAGCTAACGGTGCCTCGGGCGAAGCACGCGCGCAGTTCCGGAGCGCCGTCGCGCAGACCGTCGTTGGGCGGGTTGGGGGTGCCAGCCCAAGCATTAAGTCGGGCGTGTCCCCCTACAGGGGGATTTTCGACGAAAAATAAAAAATACTCAAAAAATACCCCAAACAGGTAAAAAATAATAAACAAACAATCCCCAGACTATTGTTGGACTACTTTTGGACTATTTTTCTGGTATTTTCTTATTTTTCGCCGAACATCCCCCCGTAGGGGGACACGCCCGACTTAGCCCAGGCAGACCGGGAACCCTCCACTTCGGGAGGGTCACGGCCTGTGGTCCCCCCCCGCTCCACGCGGGCGGCCTACTGGCTGGCGGCCCCTCAGCTCCAACGGATAGCCGTATGTTGTTCCCATCCTACTTAAGAACCCCATCCCAGAAATAATTTCGAGCACCCCATAGAGCAACCGTGAAAGTGCCAAAAGAGTATCGAAACAGTGTCGAAAATATGTCGGGCGAATGTCTCTCCCAGGGCCCGACACGCGAAAACCGTAGAGTCTCGGTACTTTCTGGGGGCTCGAAATTCTTTCTGGTGGTCAAGGCTAAAGTAGGTCGGAACATCATAAGGATACAATCAAAAACCCTAATAAGGACGCGCGGTAAGGACGCAAGACCCTTGGAAGCCGAAGTTGGGATTTCTGGGGCGGCGGACGACGAACACCCCAATGGCGCAAGAGCAAGGAAGAGCAAGGACGCAAGGGTACCCTGAGCAAAGTCGCGCGTCCTTACTAGGGTTTTGACTGTAGCCCAGTGGTGCACCTGCCCTCAGAGTCCACGGGGATCCTATGCAGGGCCCCGCGGGGGGAGCGTCGGGCCCTGTGATCTGACCTTGCGTCAAAATACAACATCGTGCGCAAAAAAAACACGCCCAGAGCCCTGGATCGGGTCGGGCGAAAGAGGGGGACAGCAAAGGGGGGGTTTGAGAATCAGCTCACGTAGCTGATTCTCCCGGCGCCTCCCAGCGCCGGGAGGCGGCCATGTATCGAGGAATGGGCCTCTCGGTGGGGCCAAAACCAGCTGCGTGCAGCAGATTTCGTAACCCCCCCTTTCCCAATCCCGCCCGTTCGTCCGGCCCGACTGGAGCCCAGGCGCCCACCTGTCTGCTGCATGTGTCGAGCCAGAGTCTGATGGATCTGTGATGGCCCCTGAGCCCGAAGCTGGGTGAGCACGCCAAGCGCAACAGAAATGCATCGCTCGAATGGCACGGAAGGGGTGGGGGCGCCGGCCATGCAAACCTTGAGGTTTGCATGGTCCTGCCGATGGCCGGGCCGCCTTACGATGCACGAGCCCAGCTGTGACCACGCTCGAGATAAGGACGGCAACCCGAGCGAGTAGCAATTCGCGTGGTGCGGGTGGCGGGCAGCAACCCCCGCTGAGATCGACAATTGGACAAGCGCGCTTTCAAGTTCGATCGCACCCTTCCCTTGCAGACACAGCGTGGAACATCGCACTGCCACTGAAAACACAAGCAGCGGCGAGCAGACAACAAATATACGCCACCACCAAGGCTACTCGGGCCCACTTAGGACCCAAGGGCAGTAACATACACGATGCCCTCCCGGTTGCCTTCTGTGGATCGCTTGTGGCGCGGCCCGCGGCCAAGGAGTCCATGCCAGCCGCCCGCCATCCTGCTGCCGAAAGACGGCCCACAGCTGCCCGCAGCGACCTCCCGGCGTGGTCGCCGCGGGCCTGAGCGGGCGCCTCCTTGGAAGGCTTCGGGCCGACTTCGGGGGCACTCCGAAGAGATCGGAGGCCGACACAGTGACGCTCGTCTGGTCACTCATTGCCCCACTGCTGGTGGGAAGCTCGGGCGCCGCGAACGCCGTGGCCACGTGCCAGCCAGACGCGCGGTTGCCTGGACGAGGCTTGGAGATCCCCATGTTGAGCTACTTCGACCCGGAAGGGTCGTCGGGAGCCAGCAGCTCGGCCAGGTCGCAGTGAGCAGTCGCCGCAGCCAGATGCCACGAAGCCGAAGGCCCGGGATGACGATGCCCACTGCGGATCCTGCCGAGGCCGACGGCGCCGGATCCCGACGCAGCCTCCCCGCGGCCGCGCCTGCCTCCCTCGCCGACAGCGACCTCTCGGCATGGCCGCGGCGGGCCTGGCGAGCGCCTCCTTGGAAGGCTTCGGCGCTCCTCGAAAGAGATGGGAGGTCGACTCGGTGTCGCTCGTCTGGTCCAATCATTGCTCCGCTGCTGGCGGTCGACTCGGCGTCGCTCGCCTGGTCGCGCGGTGCCCCACAACTGGCAGGCCCCATCAAGGGAAACTCGTGAATGCCCCGGCTTTGGGCTGGCCGGACGCGCGGCTGCCCAGGCGAGGCTCAGGAGCTCCCGGTGGGTCGAGCACCTCTTCGGCTCGGTGAGGCCGTTGGGCGTCATCAGCTCGGCAAGGTCGTAACGAGTAGTCGCGCGCTGGGGCGCCCGCCCGGGGCGCCCGCCCGCCATCCTGGGAGTCGAGGGTGGCCTCGGTTCGGGCGCCGCGCTGGATGCCTGCGCCCACGGCCAGCGCAGGCCATGCCCGCGAGAGCTGCTCGTCGACTGCCGGGGGCAGACGCCCGCGTGGCTCGCCAGCCCTGCGAGGCCTGCCAGGTTCGAGCAGCACCGACCCGCAGGAAGCGCCGCGCAGCTCCCCTCGGGAGTCCACCAGGGACCGCCTCACCACGTACGGCTCAGTGGGAGGTACGGCTGCCTGCGGCGGCCGAGTTGGGCGCACTGGCGCCCCGCCAGCATTTGGCACAGAACGGGCACGCATTCGGATACAGCACCGGGGAGATTACAAGAACATGCCGGAGGAGCAAATCTGAGCATGGCCATCTCAGGCGTTGATGTGACTCTCAGAATCGGCGAATCCTGTTTGAGAGTCTCAAGAACTGTGTACAACTTTTCTCGGAAGCAGGCTGGTGTTGCCTTGGTACAATCAACAACTGATGAAGCACTGTTCTCCCGAACGGTAGTAGATGTGCAACACCATGCGGACTTGGAACATGTCGGCTCAGCTGCAGCAGAAAATACCCGCCAAAAAGGTGGATGTCCTGTCATCTTCACACGCACTCCACGCCTGCCACCTCTGTCTCACTCATTCCCCCCTTATCTCTCCATGTATATTTATATATACATATATATATATATATGTATATTATCCCTCCTACTCTCGCATGTATACTCTACTCTCTCTCTCTCTCTTTACTCTTTGCAGTCCTGTGCGCTCGACGCTCTATTGTATACTCTCTACCCTCTCCCTTATGTCTATATATGTACGCAACTCTGCCCCGTGCTATATGACAGATGCTCGCTCGCCTGTGCTGTCTGGCCTCTGATACTGTGCTCGCCCTTTCTCTCCCTCACGGTACCGATCCTGCACCCAAATATGATGACCGTGGCCGCGGAGCCTCCATCGTTCTCTCGTTCTCTCTCGTCCTCTTTCTCTCTCTCTCTCTCTTTCTCTTTGTTTCCCCCCTCTGTCTGAAGGAGAGCGCGAAGCACGAGCAGCCATGCTGGTCAGATCCGCTGCGGGCCAGCAGGCGCCCAATCCTCGGGCGTGCGCGCTGGCCGAGGCAGAAAAAAACTAGGGCCCCGGCCGTCGCCGTCGTTGTCAAAGTAGTGGAACAGGCGGCGGCTCTTCGCGGCATTGAGCGTCCGCAGGTTGAACGTGCGGAGCATCTGAGAGCAGATGCAAGCGAAGTCACTTGTCACACCCTCGTGATCACGGATGCGATGAAGCCTGGCCCTTCTCATGTACGACCCGCTCCACTCTCAGTCATGCTTCGCACTGCGCTCGGTGGGGGAAAGCAGCCAGATATCCTCGAGGCGTCTGCGCCCTCTGTCATGAGAGAGAGGGGGGGCCCGAACGGTCTCGCGCTGTCCATGGGCGCGCACCCGTTCCATATCTGTGGGGAAACAACAAATGAACTCACAACACACACGTGTGTTTTCCCCATAGTGTATGTGTGTGTGTGTGTGTTTGCTGTTCCCACGTGTTTTTTTGTTTGTGCTGTTTAGTGTTTTGTGTTCTAGTGTTGTGTTTGTTTGTCTGTTGTTTGTTTTTTTGTGTTTTTGTTTCCCATCCCATCCGCCTGCAGTTTGTCGCCATGGTCGTGGCCGCGATCGTCGCCGCCGTCGCCAGCCTGGCGTCTCCGCCCGCGTCGCTGTCGCACCCCCCTCCCTCCCGTGGCCGGGGGCGCCGGGCGCTCCAAAGAGGGCGCCCGGCGGGCCGACGGGGGGGCGCCTTCTTGAACTCGCCGAACTCGATCTCCCCCGAGCCTGGAGGCACGACAGGGCAGGGGCCCAAGGGCACACGAATAAGTACACACACGTAAAAATGTTCCCCATATATTTTTCTATATCTTCAGGGTGCTTGTCTTCCCCGCCACTTACCATATTTCCCTCTCTTTTCCTGGGGATCGACGATTAATTCCCCACATGTTTCGTGGGGTTCTGGTTTTCTTCCCTGCCGCGCCGCACCCGCGTCTCACACCTCCCCCCTCCCCTTCTCCTTCTCGCACAGCACAGCACAGCACAGCACGGCACGGCACGGCACGGCACAGCACAGCACAGCACAGCAGCACAGCACAGCACAGCACAGCACAGCATACCACACAGGGCATTCCTTCGACGCCACAGGGGGTGGAGGTGCGCAGAGGGTGGTCCCTCAGCGCGGCCTCTATCCGTGACACGCTCGCAAATCGTGGCAGGCGTGGCACCTTCTCGACACCACAGGGGGTGCGCAGAGGGTGGTCCCTCAGCGCGGCCTCTATCCGTGACACGCTCGCAGATCGTGGCAGGAGTGGCATTTTCTCGAAGCCGCAGGGGGTGCGCAGAGGGTGGTCCCTCAGCGCGGCCTCTATCCGTGACACGCTCGCAGATCGTGGCAGGAGTGGCACTGTCTCGACACCACAGGGGGTGCGCAGAGGGTGGTCCCTCAGCGCGGCCTCTATCCGTGACACGCTCGCAGATCGTGGCAGGAGTGGCATTTTCTCGAAGCCGCAGGGGGTGCGCAGAGGGTGGTCCCTCAGCGCGGCCTCTATCCGTGACACGCTCGCAGATCGTGGCAGGAGTGGCACTTTCTCGACACCACAGGGGGTGTGCAGAGGGTGGTCCCTCAGCGCGGCCTCGCCTCTATCCGTGACACGCTCGCAGATCGTGGCAGGAGTGGCATTTTCTCGACACCACAGGGGGTGCGCAGAGGGTGGTCCCTCAGCGCGGCCTCTATCCGTGACACGCTCGCAGATCGTGGCAGGAGTGGCACCTTCTCGACGCCACAGGGGGTGCGCAGAGGGTGGTCCCTCAGCGCGGCCTCTATCCGTGACACGCTCGCAGATCGTGGCAGGAGTGGCACTTTCTCGACGCCACAGGGGGTGCGCATAGGGTGGTCCCTCAGCGCGGCCTCTATCCGTGACACGCTCGCAGATCGTGGCAGGAGTGGCAGGGGGATTTTCGATGAAATATATAAAATACTCCTAAAAGATTCCAACATGGTCAAAAAATACTCAAGAAATAGTCCCCTGAAAATCGTTTTGACTATGTTCGAATATTCCTCCTGTAGGGGGACAGGCCCGACTTAATTCTAGCCTCAGGGGTGCCTTCCAGCGGCCGCGCCTCGTCGAGGGCTTCCCCCGGGGGAGGGGCGGGGGCAGCGCCGGCCCGCTCGGCCACCCGGGGCCCGAGCCGTGGCCTGAAGGCCCCCAGGGACCCAACGCCCTGGAAAGCCAGGGCGAACCATTGTGCTTCCCCGTCGGGGGGCATTCCTTCTCCTCCAGTCCTCCTCCTCCAGTCCTCCTCCAGTCCTCCTCCTCCTCCTCCTCCTCCTCCTCCTCCTCCTCCTCCTCTCCTCCTCCTCCTCCTCCTCCTCCTCCTCCTCCTCCTCCTCCTCCCCCTCCTCCCTCCTCCCTCCTCCCTCCTCCCTCCTCCCTCCTCCCTCCTCCCTCCTCCCTCCTCCTCCCCCGCCGGGCCCCGAGGACCGCCCAAGCACGAGCCAGGACGAAGAGCTGGTCCCGGGGAAGAAGTCCAGACGTCCTGGGGGGGCCACGCTGTGGATTGGCGGCGATCCCGGGGGGGAAGCGAGAGGGGCGCGCCTTCTCAGAAGGCGGCGGGGCTTCCCAGAAGCGCGAGCCTCCCGAGTAGCCCTGTGGGCCTGCTCCGAAGCCACGGGCGGCTTCTCGGAAGGCGCGAGGGGGGCCCCCCGCCTTCTCAAGAGGCCTGTCCCTTCCCTGCACGGGACAGGGCAGGAGCCTGCGTGCCAGCTCCCGGAGGAGCGGTCCCCTGGAGGGCAGGCGGTTCAGATGTACAGCTGCAGCGAGTGCACGTTCACGGCGAATGGAAACACAGAAAACCACGGCCTTATCATTCACGAAAGGCGTCACCCGATCTCAAGCAGGGTCTTCCGACAGAGCTCTCGACGGGCCGCGCGAATCTCTTGGATCGGCGCTGGACCCACCTCCCCCGCGCGCGGAGCGCGCGAGGGGGCGGCGTCGGAGGCGCCGCGGGGGGCTCCAGCGCCGATCGGAGAAATCAACGCGGACCGTCAAAAGCTCACGTCGATGCCGTGTTCGCTGCTTCGCCTCTCACTTCCCCCCTGGGCTCGCCGCCGAATGACCTCCCCAAAAAAACACGTGATGTCTGCGAGGGCACACAGAGCTCGAGCTAAATGGTGCTCTCCGTGTTCGCTCTGTGTTGAAGTCTTCCGCCTCTGGGTGCTCGCCCTGCTCTCCCCCCCGCGGCCGCCTCTTCCTTTTCCCTCCTCCTCCTCCTCCTCCTCCTCCTCCTCCTCCTCCTCCTCCTCCTCCTCCTCCTCCTCCTCCCTTTCCTTTTCTCTCCTCCTCCTCCTCCTCCTCCTCCTCCTCCTCCTCCTCCTCCTCCTCCTCCTCCTCCTGCATGCCGGCCAATTCGCTTTGTAGTATCGCTGCCACGCTGGAGTGGACTGTCCCGCCTCGCCGCCGACGGAAAAAGTTCGTTCTGCGCTCGTTTTCCCTCGTCCCGCAGAACGAAATCAAAACGAAATCAACGCCTGCAGTGCCTGCGCTCGCCTCAACCAGGCCAGGCGATGCCTGCGACCTCTTATTGAGCGCGCCCACGGTGTCTGCACCGCGCCATGCACGGCGCCTGCGCTGGCCGCTGATGGAAACCAAGACCCACAATGCCTGCGTTCGTGCAGCGGCGCACAGGCGATGCTGGCTGGCACCGTGTTACAGTCGGGCCGCTGGCCTAAGGAACGCTACATAAGGAGCGAGGCCCCTGTTGTTCCAGAGAAGTCCATGAAGCCCGAAGGAACACCAGGGGGGCTCGCCGCCAGAAAAGGAGCGGAACGCATGCTGACCCAAGGAACAGGAGGAGGAGGAAGAGGAGGAGGAGAAAGAGGAGGAGGAGGAGGAGGAGGAGGAGGAGGAGGAGGAGGAGGAGGAGGAGGAGAAGGGGGAGAGGGAGGGGGGAGGAGGGGGAGGAGGAGGGGAGGAGGAGGAGGAGGAGGAGGAGGAGGAGGAGGAGGAGGAGGAAGCAGGTGTTCCCGATTCAGCGGCCCGACGGTGCTCCCAACCATCCCGTGGTGCTGGGTCCCCGGTTTTGAATCCGCAGCGCCGCGCGTGCACTCCTCCCCTTCCTTCCTTCCGCATCCCCCTCCTCTTGCCGCGCCCTCCTCGCCTAGAAACACCCCGGGGGCGGCCAAGAGGGGGGCGTCCAAGAGGGGGGGGGGGGCGCAAGTCATGGCCGGCGGCACGTGCGCGGCCCAGGGAGGGGGAGGGGCCAGGAAGGTGATGACACACGAAGAGGCGCCACGAATCTGAGGAGATAGCATGGCCACACGCCATGATGTCCCCCCCCCCCAGTCATCACCCCCCTCTCTGCGCCCCCGTAGGAAGCACCACTATACCCCAACACCGATCCTGGCCAGGATCACCCTGGGCCCAGGATCGGTGTATACGCCCTCCTGCCTTGGGCAAGAAGGCATATACACCGATCATGGGCCCAGGGTGATCCTGGGCCAGGATCGGTGTTGGTGTATAGTTGGTGCCCTCCGACCCCGCACACCGTCTGGCCCGAGCCCTGGGAGGGCACCTCGTCGTCTGGCCCCGCCGCGCCGCGCGCGGGCGGGCGCAGGGGAAACCTCGGGGGGGGGGCTGGGGCGCCGCTGCGGCCTCCTGCCCTCCCACCCCTCCCGTCCCATCCCAGCCCGTCCCTCCCCCCAGGGGCCCTCCCTCCACCCCTCCCTCCCTCCCATCCCCCCCACCCACCCCTCCTTCCATCCCTGCCTCCCACCCCTCCTTCCTTCCCTCCCTCCCTGGATGGATGGTCGGAAGGAGGGTCCCGGGATCCCGGGACCCGCCTTCCAACCATCCGTGCACCCATCCGTTCTCTTCCTCCTGGAACGGCAGGATCTCCGCGTCTCCACGGCCCCAGGCCCGAGCCAATCCAGAGCCGAGGGGGGCGGTGCAGCATGCACCGTCCTGGGCCCAGGGTGTGTACAGTCATCGGTCTGACCTAAGGAACGATGAATAAGGAACGAAGCCCTTTTTTTACCCCAAGGAATAACGCATAAGGAACGATAAATAACAAATAACGCATAAGGAACTGTAAATAACGCATGCAAGCCTAAGGAACGCCCGAGCCCCTTTTGAAAAGTAAGTGTTCCTTATTCAAGCCGCTCACTGTATGCACCATCCTGGGCCCGGGGTGGGCCCAGGGATGCGACACCGCTCGTCGGCCCAGGGTGGGCCGAGGCCTAGGGCAGTGGACATGTAGAGATCCCGCCGCCCTGCCTCCGCCGTCATCCTGCTCGTCCTCCTCCTCCTCCTCCTCCTCCTCCTCCTCCTCCTCCTCCTCCTCCTCCCTCCCTCCCTCCCTCCCTCCCTCCCTCCCTCCGTGGAAGAAGGGCATGCTGGTGCTGTGCGCCCCCCCCCCTGGAGGCGCACGTCCCAGCCGACCACACAGCATCAGCGTCTTTTATATATATATATATATATATATATGTATTTATAAGAGAGAGAGAGAGAGAGAGAGAGAGAGAGAGAGAGAAAAAAAAAAAAAAAAAAAAAACAAAAAGAGAGAGAGAGAGAGAGCACATCGGCACCCCAGCGGTATGGCCGGAAAGCGCCGTGCACGACGCACACGTAATCAATAGGAGCATGTTTGGGTGGCGCTGACCCCACTCCGGTCGGCGGAGTGACGCAGGGCAGCCTGGGCAGAGTGCAGGCGTCAGGCAAGGGTTGCAGCGAGTCCGACTCCGCGCAGCGGTGCCGACGGCTCGAGGGCAGTGGGGAGGGGGAGGAGGGG